GGTACATACAGGCAACGTGTGTATTTGTGATTGCGGTATGTGTGGAAACCGACCATGGGACAGTCATAAAGACGAATTCTAATAATCACTGAGGAAAGTAAAGCATGGAAGAAGGCCTTTGAACCTATCTTTTGTTCACAGTTAACCTTTATAAGTCTTAAGTTGATTTAGGAACATTTGAATTAAAGCGTTAAGGATGTTGCTGTTTGACAGGAACTTTCTGCTTGTAGTAAGTCTTAAAGAGTTTTGCAGTAATAGCCTTTTGAAGTATAGTTTTAGAATATTGCTTGTATTCTTGAAACTACAGCTTTAAAAAATATAAAAAGGAAACATGCTTATCTCACGCCTTAACAAAACAGTGAAAAGCAGCTTGAGAAAGGGAGATGAGCATCAACTCAAGGATTAATAGTTTCGACCAAGGGAAGCTGGACATCACTGTTATGAGATTTATAGTCCTTGCAATTAAAAGGTGGACCCACATCCGGAGAACTGGACTTCACCAGCTGGGATGCTTCTTCCTTCTTTCAGAAACCGGACCACCTGCGGACCATCTGGGGGTACTCCTTTCTGGGATACATCCTGAGAAAAACTAAATCACAATAGTGTATAGAATTGTGACGTAAATATTGGGAATAGAAACTGCTGGTAAGTAAAAATTAGGAATAGAAACTGCTGAGAAAGCTGATGAATACCCCTATAAATACCTGTAAGCCTCAACCATTGGTGTGCAGTTGAAGGGAAAACCTCCACCACTGTACCCAGCGCTGTATTGCTCATATTTTACCATATTAATTAATAAATTGATTGCTGCTTGAATATTGGCCTAGTCAAGTTTCTCATTTATAACAGCTGGGGCGTGGTGTCCCACCCCTGGGAAGGGCCGGCGGCACCGAGCCTTTGGACAGCGCTCCCGGTGCATCAGGCGGTCTGGGGTCCTGCGCAGTGCCAGGGGTTTGACAGTCCTTGTGGCATTGGGAAAGGTGGGATTTGAGGATGTAAGCTGTCAAACAGCAGCCAGCAAACAAGCTCTGTGTGATGTCTGGGTATTAAAAAGATAAATTACTTGTTGGTAGAAGTGCCTTGTTGAGGTTTAGGCCTTGACGTGCTACAATGTTCTCACACCTAGGCAATGCCTGGGAAGAAGGATGTAGGAATAATAGTGGGCACTAAGAATGCAGAATTTACAGGCCACAAGGACATTTGGCAGAACTCTAAAGATAAGGATGAAACTTAATAAATTGTGCTGAATTACCTCTGTGTGGATAAAAGGCAATTCTGGCACATGGAGACCACCGTCCCGAGAAACTCTCTGACTCCTAAGCAGAGAAAGACTGAGCATGTGGATTAATTAGCGTGAGAAGTGAAAGACTCATTAACCAATAAAAGATAAAATATGACTTAATAAGAGAAATATGTAACTTGTAGATAATGAACATTAATGCCTTTGTTTGCTAAAATGTATAAATAGTGAAAAGTTTTGATAGGTGGTGTGCTTGACTTGTGGAATACCACTGAGCAGCCAGGCTGGTGCAGCTCTGGAAAAAGTTATCAATGTCTCTCCAGAGTGTGAAATTATTGGCTTATTGCACACCAGGTTGTCCGGTTTTCGGCTGTTTGAAGGGCCTGGAAAGGCCCGGAGTGGCCTTGGGGCAGCCTGCGTATCAAAGGACGAGAAGAGGCTTCAGTTCTTCCTTCGGTCTTTATGTTTATTAATTGTTTATCTAAAAGATTTTCTTTCGGCCCGACAGAGGTCTGTTCAGCAGTCAGCCATGAGCACACTCTGTAGCCCTCCGGACAGTCACCCATCTTTATACCCATGGTTACGTGTACAATATTTATCATTTTTCCCCAATCCTTTTTATTTTTATTGTTCGGTGCACTTTCAGTAATGACCAATCCCAAAGTGCCACCATCATCAAAGAAGATGGAGGAGAAGAAGAAGAAGAAGAAGGACAGGACACGCCCCAATTCCTCCATCTTACTTCTCTAAACCCCCCTGTACATAAATCCTAAACCCTGTGTCTCACCCTCTAATTAACTAATCCCTTCACCATTCACCCCGGTGAAGTCCTCCTATCCTCATACAGGTGTCGTCTCCCGTGTAGGATCAAAGTCCAGCCACCAGACACTTCTGGCAACTTTCCAGGACTCCCGAGCCCCCCAAGGGTGGTCTCGGTGACTCGGCACCTCAGTCCTGAGGTGCTGAGATCCCACACCAGGTAACAAGTCTAGTTTTTTCTGGACAACAGTGGATCCCTTCCAACTCAGAATATTCTGTGATTCTCTGGGAAGTAGGCCAACATACCTCTGGAAAGACCAAGGATAAAGCATAGTACTGAAACAAAGGTGCTATGGAAATCTCAAAATTCCATGTTGCTCTAGAATAGCTGGTTTTGAGTCATATATTTGCTAGTTTAATTGAAAGTTTCCCAAAGCATGATAGGCAATGAATATGATACTGATACATTTATCTCAGTAGACCTTTTGTTAAATGCAATGCAAAGAATCTTAAAAGGGAGAGCTTTCCCAAACCCTACAATCAAAACATTCAGTGAAAATAAAAATGCCAAGGCCCAAACCAGACTCCCTCTATCCTTTCTCTTTTCTCCCACAGTTTATTCAGTAATTTGCATACAAGGTAAAAT